AGCTAAGAGCTGGAAACACAGGGAATCCAGGACAGATAAACCCCTCAGGACCAATATTGAGAGTAGCCATACCAGGAGGGTAAGGGGAATGTGCGGGGAGAAGGGAGAACCGATCACAATGATCTACCTATAACCCCTTCCCAGGGGGATGGACAACAGAAAAGTGGATGAAGGGAGACATTAGACAGTGTAAGACATGAAAAAATAAGAATTTATAAATTATCAAGGGTTCATGAGGGAGGAAGGGTGGGGAAAGGAGGAGAAAAATGAGCTGATACCGAGGGCTCAAGTAGAAAGAAAAGGTTTTGAAAATGATGATGGCAACAAATGGACAAATGTGTTTGACCCAATGGATGGATTTATGGATTGTGGTAAGAGTTGTATGAGCCCCCAATACAATGATTAAAAAAAGAAATTTCTCCAGGCAATCCTTTCCCCCAACCCCCCAAATCAGCTCCTACAAACCCCGTGGCACAGAGCTCTACTCTGGCATATATGGGGTTGCCACTAGTGCGCTCAGTGGTAACTTTTTCTTCAAATAAGCTCAAACAGTGAACCCACTGCCTTTGAGTCAATTCTGACTCATTGCAACCTTACAGGACAGTCGGACTGCCATTTTGGGTTTCCAAGGCTGTAAATCTTTTAGGAAAACCTCCTCTTTTGCCTGAGGAACAGCTTACTGTTAGAACTGCTGACCTTGTTATTAGCAGCCCAACACATAAATCACTATAACCACCAGGGCTCCATTTTCTTCAAATACAAGCTTCATATTCAGACAGGTTAGCTACCGAGCAGGAGGTGAACAGCTCCTGGACCCCAAGTCCTTACCTGGCAGAACAGGCCTGACTTCACCCTCTGGCCCCCGAGATATGGAATCATTCTTCTTCTCTGTGTTTGATACTGCCAGTGGCTGATTTGGGGCTGTGGCTTTCTGGTTCATTTCCAACAAGGAGAGGCCCCTTGCTCCTTCACTCAGTCCTGTGGTTCTTGTCTGGGTAGGATCAGCTGCCACGTGAGTCACCATCTTGCGGCCAAGGTTTACTGAGGAGCAGAAGAGCTATTGTTAGTTCTGGATTTCTTTTCTGAACTGCAACTGAGACCACTGTGGCAGTTACATAATCTACTGTCAACTTGCAAAGGGGTGGAGTCTAGCCTGTCAATCAGGTCACAGCTTGATGACCTTATTTGGAGGCACGAAGGAGATAAATAGTTCACTGGAGGCCAGACCCACACTCTTTCCCTGCAAGACATTCCTGTTGACAAGGCACATGGAGCTGTGCTGAGGGCAGCCAGAGCCTTGGAGTTGGAGGAGCCACTTGGAAACGCATGCCAGAGCTAAGATGCTTCTATCACCACTGGATCCACAAGACTTTCCACCCATTGGCCTGTGATCTTCCTGTACTGAGCCTCATTGCAGGTGTTGAAGAGGAATTTACAGACTGGTATTGGATATATAGGCTAATATCGGACTTATGGACTTGATTTGGACTGAGCTGGGATGTTTTCTTAATATACAATTACTCTTTGATATAAAGCTCTTCCTTATACACATAGGAGTCTCCCTGGATTTGTTTCTCTAATCTACCCAGACAAACACAACCATTAAAATTGCAATGAAACCATAGCCCTTCCATGTAAGATATACCATGAAATACTATCTAATCTTCAAATGCTAAGATACACGAAGATCTCCCATGAATGCTGGCCCGAGATGTTGGAAGAAGACAAGAGCCTTCCCCCAGAGCTGACACACAGAGGACACCTTCTCCCAGAGTTGGCAACTTGAATTTGCGCTCCTAGCTCCCAGAACTAGGAGAGAATAGGTTTGTTTGCTAAAGCCATGTACTTGTGGTATTTCTGTTATAGCGGTACTAGGTAATAAGGCAGGCTTTGGTACCAGGAGAGGGGTACAGCTCTAACAGATACCTAAAATGTACAAGTTGCTGGAGAATTAGGAGATGGGTAGAGGTCAGAAGCATTTATAAGATGCCAAATAGTAAAAGGTTAGATGGCCTTTAAGATACTATGGAAAATAATGTGTTAGGGATATATTCTTTCACTGTACTTATTCAATCTGTATGCTAAGCAAATAATCCGAGAAGCTGGATTATATGCAGTACTCTGTATCAAGATTAGAGGAAGAGTCATAAACAGCCTGTGATAAGCAGATGATACAACCCTGCTTGCTGAAAGGGGATTTACTAATGAAGATAAAAGCCTTCGGTATGGATTAAACCGCAACAAGAATTTTAAAAACTCACAAGTAGATCAATAGCAACATCATGAACACAGAAAAACACTATTTTGGTCAAGGATTTCATTTTACTTGGATCCACAATCAACAACCATGGAAGCACAGCCAAGAAAACAAGCGATGTACTGCATTGGGAAAATCTGCCGCAAAAGACTTCTTTAAAGTGATAGAGAGCAAAGATGCCGCTCTGTGCCTTGGTATTTTCAACAGCCTCATGTGCGTACGAAAGGTAGACAGTGAATAAGGAAGACGAAAAAAGAATCGATGCCTTTGAATTTCCATGATCACAAAGAGTGTGAAATATATCACGGACTTGGCCAGAAGAATGAACACATCTGTCTTGGAAGAAGGACAGGCAGGATGCGCCTTAGAAGGGAGAATGGTAAGACTTCTCACATATTTTGGACATGCTATCAGGAGGGACCAGGCCCTGGAGAATATCTTGCTTGGTTGGTCAAGCAGAGGAAGTAAAGACGAAGAACCTCTACGAGACGGATTGACACTGTAGTTGTAGCGAAGCATTCAAACCGCATGGTTGTGAAGGCGGTGCAGGGTTGGGCAAAGGGCTGCTATGTGTCCAGACTGACCTGACAGCACTTAACAACAACATTGTAAAAGCCTATATTGCCTTGAAGAGACTGCTGGTGGACTTATGGATGCAAAAGGCAATCTAGTGAGGTCTCAGAAGGAAGTGAGGAGAGCAGTCTCATGAGACGGTGCAGACATCAAGAAGCAGCAGCAGAGAACTGGCAGCACAGAAGCTGAGAACAGTAAGTAAGACAGCTTGGGAGCCAACCCTCGGAGTTAGAGATCCGAGCGCCTTTGGGCAGGAAACTTCTTGGCAGAGTGGTGTGCCTCTGTGTGCTTGGCGATGGAGTTCATGTACTGTCATACACGGCTTCACCACAAGTCGGAACCAACTCAAGGCACCTAACAACTACTTCCAAATGGTGATCTGGTCTTTGTTGCTCAAATTAACTTTCCAAACATCACACATAAAGAACTTGACCAAGACAAGACTCAAAACCTATGGTTTTGAGATTTTGTATCCTCCTGCAAAGGAGCACTTCATTAAACTTTATGTGGCTCTTTTTCTCTCTGAATATTCATCTGTGTGTAGATGGCACTTGGACAGAGATTCATGGGACTCCCGAGACTATGGTCTTCAGGTCTGGAACTGAACTCACCTCTGTGCCTCAATATTCGGCCAAATAGGCAGGTCTAGAAGGGGAGCAAGAGCCCTAGTGAGGTATGGACACCTTAGAATCATCTACCATTTGAGATCAGGGCGTCAACATTTGCCCAAGGACAAAGTTCAGAAAGGGAGGAGAGAAGGGACAGTGGAGGTAGGAAACATGAGGAGGAGGTAGGATGTCCCGCATGGTGTTGGGGATGGCCATCAATGAGATGACCCAAATACACATGAATGGTTGCAAGTAAACCTGATGATCTGCTCTGGAAGCCTTCACCCAATTCACTACAAAAGACTGAGACAACAAAGACTCATTTCCCATACTCTGGTATGCCACAACCATTCTCGAAAATGATCACCACCAAAGACTAAGTCACTTCACATTTTAAGACAGGAGAAGGCATACGGTGTTTTGTTTTGTTTTAGGTTGAAGAAGAATCTTTTGGAAAATTGAAAAAGAGAGTAAAAAGCGAAAACGATAGGCAACACCAAAACTTAGCCCGGAGGTTCACTGTCTTTGCTGTGTGGCTGAGTGGACACGCAGAGGACAGAGGGAGCTGCCTCATAGGGTTTCTAGGCTGAGAGCTTTATAGTAGCAGGCTACCAGGCCTTTTCTTTTGCAGGGCAGAGCAGCTGATTGATGGGTTTGAACCGACAACCTTTCAGTCAGCAGCTGAGCGTGTAACCTCTGTGCCACCATTGCTCTTCAGAGGCTCACAGTGGCTTCCTATTTACAGCACAACTTTCCCATATAAAATTAAACCTAAAACCAGGGAAGAGCAGGGCGGTAGGGAAGATATGAAGTTCTCACTTCATTAAAAAGAACACAGCCACCCCTCCTACCACCTTTTCCCTGCCTCTGCTTTGCCCGAACACTGGCGACAGCTCACTCACGGTTTTGACAGAAGGCCTCATCAGACCCATCAGGACACTGCTCCACTCCATCGCAGGCCAGAGTGATGTCAATGCAACAGCCGTCGTCACAGAAGAAGTGGTAGCGAGAGCAGACCTTCAGGCATCCTGTCCATAAACAAACCGCACATCACAGAAACCTTTATTAAACAAAATGTGAAGCTAGCTCTTTGCCACACCTCCTCCCTCTAAGTCTAGGCAGTCTGACAGTGGGGTTTCCATGTCTCTAAACCTTCTGCAAGAACTCCGCATGCTTCAATTTGTACCACATCAAAGCAGCAGTTTGGGCATCCTTAAGGAACTCAAAACGTGTTCTTGTGGGCTGTTCTTTGAGTTTGGGAATAAGAAGAAGGCTGAAGGGGCAAGACCGGGGCTGTCAGGCAGATGGGGTGCAATTTTCCAATGAAATCCTTGTAGGACAGCCCTTGTGCATTGCCATGATACATTAAAAAATAAAAAATCCTCAATCCTTAACTTCCTTGGCCTTTTTCTCACCAATGCATCTTTCAATTTCCTTAAGACTTCTTCATTATAAGCTCCCATTTACTTCAAGGCGATCTGTCATGATTACCCATTTGGGATACTAAAATACAGGCACAATAACCATTGAAGCTGACCTTTCTGCCTTGAATTTAACTGGCCCAGCAGATCCGCTGGAAGCCACCATCTTGATTAGACTTGGCTCTCTGGATCATCTTGGTAGATCCAAGACTTGTCCCTGGTTATGATTAATTCCATAAACTCATCTTCATGAGCTTCGGTCTTGCTTAATAGAACTTATGGAAGGTGAGCTCTTTAAGCTAGCTAATCTTTGCACAGTGCTTGCAGCACCCACCAAGCCAAAAGCGTACCAAGGCCAAGATGTTGGCTTACATGGGAAATACTGAACCATGTGAGGTCCCAATCTAGTAGCTATTGGGTCATGGTCATTCTGTGGTTTCTGGACTTGAGGCACAGTTTTCTTCATTCACAAAGGATATCTGCTTGTCTCTTTACCCTAAAAGGGATCACCCTTGGTTACCGTTACAGCTGTGTCATTAATTGCGAGGTCAATGCATATAACTGAGAGGAGAGAGATACCCTGACTCCACCTCTGGTTTTCAGTGTCTTTTTTTCTCAGCCTTACTCCATTGCATGTTATTTTAATGTGACCAGTAAGAGATTCCACGGGGCAGTTAGTGTCCACGAGCCTCTCTTGTGTTCGACATAAGGCACCTACTCCGAGGGTAACATGAATGGCCGGTGAGTGACCACAACTGATTCATGACTCTGTGCTCCTTCAAACACATTTGTCATCATCTTGGTAAAGGGCCAGATGTTTATTGCTGGCAATGTACCTTTGGAGCCTGAAACAGTGGCCTGAGTAAATGAACTAGGCAAACAAATGCCACCTGCTTATCTTGGTGCTTGGGTGGGGCTTTCTACCTTGGCAGGTACCCTGGTCCCTGAAGCTTCCATTGAGGGTGACGGGCATCTTTCATTTCCCCTGAGGGCTGCAGCGCATGAGCATTTTCCTCCCAGAGTTGACACGTGGGATAGTCCCTGCCCCTGCCCAGGCTAGCACTGAGCCCTAGGCAAGTTGGTGCGGTGCTGGTGGGTGACATGGCCTGAAGCCAGGCAGTGTTTCTACTGGCGCGAGAGTGTCCAGCATGCCTGGCGCTCCCTGTTTATTGTAGTAACAGCATACGTAAAAACAGTAGCCACCTCTACATTCTGTGACTGTGCAGTCCAAGGCCTGGCTCTACTGTGAAACCTAAGTAAATCAGCAGGCCCTGGTCAGACCCAGGCTGTTTGCATGAATTCTCGACTGCCAGTGACTCCACGCTGATGTGGACCAGAACTGCATGGTTGGCTGGTTCATGTTCAGTCACTACCCTGCTGCCCACCGTTAGCTTAAACTTAGGCTGGACAAGTAGTCCACCACCTTTTGCATGCAGCTTATCATGGTCTGTCTCCCTGTAGAAGGTCTATGTTCAAGGCTGCCAGGTCCTATGGATGCTGTTGTTAGCTTTCATCAACCTGCGTACCTAACAAAACCACATGGAGACCCATGGTGCAAACAAGAATTTCCATTTATGATTTTCATGGTGGTGTAGAGGGTAACATATTGGGCTGCTAACCAGAGTCCGCCCTTCTCCATCTATGGGTTGAATTGCTCCCCAAAGAGAGGCTGCAGCCCCCTCCCCTGCACCTGTGAATGTGATTCCACTTAGAAACAGGTGGTTGTTGATAGGTTGGTGGGGGCATATGGAGAAGGATGTCTCCTAAACCTTATCCCTTTTGAGTGGCGTCTTATAAAAAATCAGAGTAGACACAGACACCCAGAGAGGGAAGTGAGTAGGTGAGGTTGGTTTGTCTACAAACCAATGAACGTAGAGGCTACAGACAAGCAGGGTCCCGGGGCACCCCTACAGCCCGCGCCCTGATTTGGGTTTGTAGCCTCCCAAACGGAAAGAGGATGAACACACATGCCTGATCTTTAAAGTCTCCTCTTGTGGCCGTGGAAACTCAAATGCCCCAGAAGCCAATGGTGTGAGGGTTTCCCCAGGCAAGATCGCCCCGGCTTTAATGCTTCCAGCTTCCATATAACGGATCCCCTGGTTGCTTTAACCCTATCAGCTAATATGAGACCCCTCTTAGATATTTTACAAAGATTTTATTGGCACATCTGTTAGTAAAGGGCCTATGAAAAATTCTCAATAGTACTTTCCAACGAACACGTGTGCTTCATGTAGTTTCATTTGTTTTATAAGGATTCCTCAGCGCAGGGAGCCGCAGTGTACAGCCCACGAGGTCTGCAGGTCTGCAGTTCGCTGCCACGAGCCCTGCCCTCCTGTAGGAGCCGGCGTGGATTCTCAGCAGTCAGTGAGTTTTGGAATTTTTCCTCCATGGCATGCTTGGCATATACCTATCAATAGACACCCCACCCCACCCCCAGCCCCTCTCCCCTCTCCCCCATACACCACCTTTAAACAAAACCCATGCCCGGCAGAGTGGAGTCAAGAAAAGTGGGAATGTCCCTCGGGTCCAGCCTCTCCCAAAGGGTTGTCACTGTGCATCCCCAGGGAGGCTGTCCCCAGGAAGGCCACTTAACCCCAGAGAGAACAGGGCCTGTTTTTTATTTTGTATTTTCAGCAGACTCACTCAACAACCGCCAACATAAAATTGGGTGCCTGCGGGAGGCGCAGTCCAAACGGAAAATGCCCATCGGACACCATCCTTCCTGGGGGCCTGCACGGGGCGGGGCCTCCTCCTCACCTTCCGTGAAGGAAGCCGTGGGCAGCACAGTCACCGAGACGTTGTCGGAGCTTCTCTGGCCCGCGGTGTCGGTCACGGTCAGCTGCAAGGTGTATCCGCCCTCTTGTAAGTTGGACAGCTTCAGCGTCCCCGAGTGCGGCACCTGACGGGCAAACAGGACACAGCACAGGTGTTAGGAGACCTTAGGCACACAGCTCGGCAGGAGCCCAAGCCAGAAGTCCGTGGCATCCTTGGAGCGGCCCCAGGACCTGTCTTCCCGTGCCAGCGCCATGCACCGATTTAGCAGCTGGGCCTCACCTCGAGTGCCTGACTTCCAGTTTCAGCTGGGATGACAATACCCTTGACGGATCATCTCTATTTGTCCTCCTCCCCAAGCTCCAGCCCCAACACGTGGTCCATTTCTTCTCAGCAGTGACCCCTCTGTTAGCAGGGGATGAGGACCACAGTCCTGGCGGAGAGAGTGGCTTGATCACCCATCACCCGCTCGGGACAATCTGTGCTCCGGCTAGTCCTCACCAACCCCTCCATCTGACTTTGGCTAGAAAAGCACCGACTCCTTCATTCATTTCTATTCCAAAAGACTCTCCTATTTCCACGTACAAGTTTCTCAAGACCTAACAACAGACAAGTCAGATACTCTCTGGCCTCCATCTATCTGCTCCTCCACAGCATAAGGGCTGTCTACTCCACCCTGTTGTCTCTGGTTGCCATGAGTCAGAATCGATTTGATGGCAGTGGGCTGGGTTTGGGCTGCTATTTCCATTTCCTCATTTCCCATAAATTATTATTTTTTAACTGATGGTAACATATCTAAAATTTTTGTCTCCCAACATTTTTAACATATGCAATCTAGGGAGCAAGTCAGGGCTTTCTACTTCCATGAAGAGTTGCAGTCTTGGAAACTCACGGGACCAGTCGCTATGAGTCAGAACCGACTCGATGGCAATGAGATAGTTTGGGGACATTAGTGATGTCCATCATGCTGGTCAATCGTCACCACTGCCTGTTCTCCCATGTATCCTCCATGTCACCCAGCTGACTTCTTTCCCATGACTCCATGAAACTCTACTGGCAAAGTTCACTAGCAGGTCTAGCCAAGGCCACTGAGCTGTCAAATCCGTAACTACGTAGTATGCATTCGTCCTTTTCCATTGCTAGTTTTCACCGGTTCTCGTACTGTGTCTAGCAGGGCTGGCCCCATTTACCTTCCTGACGCTGCCCCTGTCTGGGCCTCGCTCCTAGCTCCCCTAACCAGTCCTGCCCAGCCAGGCTCCCGGGGGTCTCACTTCTGCCCACTCACACCCGGAGCTCCACCCGTGGCACTGCTCACGTCCTCCTCTCCCTGCCTTGGCACTCAACTGCTTCCTGATCCTGATGTGGCAGGATCAGTCCCTTAGAGTCCATCCTACCAGAGTGCCTGTTAACTGTCTTAATTTCTATTTTACAGCAATTGCTTTGTCTCAGTGGACTCATCTGGATATTGCTCTCTGCAAATGGATGCTGGTGATCAGACATTTGAAGCCGCGTGTGTGTTCCTGCGTGTGCGGAAGCACAGACGGCTGGCGTGCTAAAACAGCCATCTCCCAGGAATCACTCACTGCCATGGAGCCCCTTCTGACTCCCAGGGGCCCTACAGGCCAGCTGCAGCCGTCCCTGTGGGCTTTAGGGGAGAGGAAACTCCCACTGGCAGAATGCCTACCATCGTTCATGGGCAACAGGTGTTGCTGTTAGGTGCCATCAAGTCGGTTCCGACCCACAGCCAGCCTAGCCACAATAGAACAAAACACTGCCCGGGCCCATGCCATCTTCACAGTTGTTTCTGTGCTGGGCCCACTGTTGCAGCCACCATCTCAGTCCATCTCCTTTCTGGCCCTGCTACTTTAACAAGCTTGATGTCTCCCACAGTACGACACACTGGCAGGCTAGTGGTGGATAGAATGAGATACAGACATGCTTGTTTTGGCTCTTGGTGAGGTACAAGTGTGTGGGCTCCAGCCTCAGAGAGTCTGAGGGGTGGAGAGTTGGGCCGGGGAACCTTGCACTTGACAAGCGGGGACAGGTGATCCACCAAGTGGTTAGGGGCACAGGCTGGTGTCCAGCCGACCTGCCTAAGTGTCCGTCCACGGAGGATCAGCTGTGTGGCCCTGTCTATGCCACAGACTCGCTCTAAGGCTCAGCTGCGTCACCTGGAAGATGTAAGTAAGAGCAGCATGTGCCTTGCAGGAAGTTAACCCCTAGGGAAGAGCTAATGCAGGGCCTGGCCCATCCTGCGTGCCAAACACTCCACCACCCCACTGGTGGACTCCCCTCTCAAGCTGAACGACGCTTCCCGGTTAGTGCACACAGGATGGGACCCTCGAACAGGGACTGTCACTCACTGAGACAGTGGCAGGAATGAGAGCTCCCGATGGCAAGATACCCCGTCCTGGCCTCACAGAAGGCATCAGCTGAAGAGGGAGCAGAGAAGGCCCTTGTTACCTCGGGTTTACTGCAAAGACACACAAGGGAGCGTTCACTGCTGCTCTTATCTCAGGCCTTGATGCTAGAGCCTGCCACCAGTCAAGCAGGGCCCAGGATGGAGCCAGAATGGACTACCCACAGGTCTACCACAGAAAGTGAGCTACGATGACTTTGATCATTTTAACGCTTCTGAGTGGCCCCGGGCCCTAAGAAGCCAGCACACCCACGCTCCTATTACGGTGGCACCAGCGTGAGGACAATCAGCAGAGATCAGGGAGTCAGGTGAAAGGATGGGAAACGAGGCAACATCAATGGCTTGAAACCTTGGGGTCCTGTTTGTCTCCCTTTCCCCCCTCTCACATCCACCCTCCAATCCTTCAGGAAACCCTGTCAACTCAGCTTTGAAAATGAAACCCAAATCTCACTTCCCTGTCTCCCAACTCCTACCGCCTCTGGCCCCACCCCCTAACTTCTACTGTGGTAAAATAGATACAACATCAGTTTTGCTATTTTATTACAAGTCAGTGGTGCTAATGGTTTGCAGGCCCTCCACGAGATGAAATTGACACAGTGGCTGCAACAATGGGCTCAGTATAGAAGCAATTGTGAGGATGGCACAGGCCCGGGCAGTGGTTCATTCTGTTGTGCATAGGGTGCCTATGGCTCGGAACTGACTTGGCATCTAACACCAACACCAACTACTACTACTACTTGGGTGGCATTGTTTAACCATGAACTTTTCATCACTCCATTGGAAACTCGGTGTTCAGCAAACAGTAAGTGCACTTTCTCCCTTCCCCAGCTCACAATTGTGTTGACACTACGTTTTGTCTCCTTGAATTTTCTTCTTCTAATTAGGTAATTACATAGGTGGTAAGCCAGGGTGCAGTTGGTTTTGCTGGACATAAATGGAATTATTGGTACAAACAATACCCATCCTTTAGTAAGTTTCTGTGCCACATGGAATGCCAAAATCATCTTGTTAAAACATTTTTTTGGTTAAAACATTTTTAAGCATCTGAGGGATGCGAATTCATCACTGATTCCTGATTTCCAAATATCCCTGAACATCCTTGTACTGTGTCATGCACCTAAATGTCGTTATTTTGCATTCTGATGTCACATTTAAATAAATTGTTTAATACTCATAAGGTACACTGTCATCTAGTGAACTGCCTGAAAATATGACATCTTGCATTAAGAATTTATTAAAGATTAACAGCCAGTTAACACTCATAGATTCCTGCTTAAACTAGAACGTAGACCCTGTTGAAATGCAGCCGATACGCAACTTTTAAAGTAAGTGGCTACCCTCTTGGTTCTTACCATTTGCCTCCTTCCTCTAGTCTTTTAAATGTAAGAGACTAATCAGAACTGCCATCCTGCACAATGCATGCAAAGTGCTCAGCCCTAGACACTAGAAGCTAAGATGTTGGCTACAACTGTATCCTAATTAAACTGGCAGCAGGATTCCTTCTAGGGTGAGACACTCCTTGATTGTTGTATTTCTTTTTTTTTTTAATCATTTTATTAGGGACTCATACAACTCTTTTCACAATCCATACATACATCAGTTGTGTAAAGCACATTTGTACATTCATTGCCCTCATCATTCTCAAAACACTTACTCTCCACTTAAGCCCCTGGCATCAGCTCATTTTCCCCCTCCCTCCCCACTTCTCCCTTCCTCATGAACCCTTGATAATTTATAAATTATTATTTTGTCATATCTTACACTGTCTGACGTCTCCCTTTACCCACTTTTCTGTTGTCTGTCCCCCAGGGAGGAGGTTATAGGTAGATCTTTGTAATCAGTTCCCCCTTTCAAGCCCACCCTCCCTCCACCCTCTAGGTATCGCCACTCACACCACTGGTCCTGAAGGGATCATCCAACCTGCTGGATTCCCTGTGTTTCCAGTTCCTATCAATTGGGATCATGACAGTGAGGGGGAGAAGCATTTAGGAACTAGAGGAGAGTTGTATGTTGACTTTTGTTGTATTTCAAACACATCGATGACAATGTGGGCGCGAAAAGCGAGTCCCCAGAGCATGGACTTAAAGTAAAGCAAGACAAAGAGTAGACTCTTTATTTCACCATGGACACAAGAAGTGGGCAGGGGTCAACACAGATAGGTGGTGGAGAGCAGGGGAGACTAAAGGGGAGAGGCAGATCAGGAAGAGGTCCTGGGTGGTGAGGATGGTCAGAGACCCAAAAGCAGAGATTGCCAATATTAACTGCTTTGCCAATGTGACACAGTAACTGTTCTCCCTCCCCTCCTAACAAGCTTCGAGGTCAGCCACGTGCCAGTTTTGGGAGGAGTCTTAGGAGAGGGAGGCCAGAGTTGATACTGGATAGGAAGAATACAAATTGCAGGAGGCAAAATCCAACAAACAGAGGAACATTCAGCAGAAGCAGAACATAGGAGTGGGAGGTGAATGGAGACACGTGGGCTCCCCTCAGACACAAGAAGTATCAGGTGTAAATAGCCACTTGAACTAAATATATAGAGAGCCCTAGGGGGTGCTTGTTGAGAAAGTATCTTATGATTTGGCTTTGCTGTGAGACTCTTTGTAGGAAGGAAGTATGGCCCTATTTGGCTTGCCCCAGTGCCTACTGTAGTGCAGTACTGGGCATAGAATAGGTTCTTGGCTAACATGTGTTAGCTATTTCCCTAGAAGGGTTGCTAATCTTTAATGCGAATGAAAGGTAGAGAGCTTGAGTTAGGCAAGGCTGCTCATTAGGGGTTGAGTTTAAACATCTGATCTCACTGTACCCCAAACTCACTGCCATCGGGTCCATTCCAACACAAAGTGATCCAATAGAGGTGGATCGGTGTGAACCCCCAAGCTTACGGTTGGCAGTCCGATCCTTAACCACAGCACCACCAGGGCGCCTTCAATTTTGCTATCCCCCAAACCAGTCGAGTCGACCCTGGCTCACAGAGACCCTGGAAGAGAGAGTCAGAAAGCTTCAGAAGCGGCAAATCGTCATGGAAGTGGACAGCTGCATCTTTCCTCCACACAACAGCTGCTGACCTTGGGGCTAGCAGCCCGACTTGTAACACATTGTGTCCGGAGAGACCTGGCCACGGGAAGCCACTCTTGAGCCCTGCGGCAGAAAGCACCCTCTCCTTATCAGCAGGGAGCACTGCTTCAGACAACCTTTCATTTAACCCGGGTCAACCTCTAGTGCAGTGGTTCCCAACCTTCCTAATGCTGCGACCCTTTCATACAGTTCCTCATGTTATGGTGACCCCCCAGCCATAAAATTATTTTTGTTGCTACTTCATAATTAGTTTTGCAACTGTTACGAATCATAATGTAAATCTCTGATATGCAGGATGTATTTTCATTGTTACAACTTGAAAATAATTAAACATAAATAAAGCATAGTGATTAATCACAATATGAAATTTTATATTGTGAGATATTTATGTGTTTTCCAATGGTCTTAGGCAACCCCTGTGAAAGGATCGTTTGGCACCTAGAGGGGTCTTGACCCACAAGTTGAGAACCGCTGCTCTAGTGCAACAGAGAGAAACTCAGTTGACAAGGGGTCCCAAGCACAAAGGAAAATGGGGGGTTGTGGTTGGTCCCCTTGGAATACAGGACCAAACCCACTGCCATCCGATCCGGTCACTTCTGACTCATAGTGACCCTAACAGGACAAAGTCGAGAACTGTCCCTATTGAGTTTCTGTGAATTGTATGGGCGCAGATAGCTTCATCTTTCCCTTTGGGAGCAGCTGGTGGATTTGATCTTACAGTTCGCAACAAAACATTATACCACCAGGGATCCTCTGGATATAGAGGTGGGGATAGGGGTGGGACAAAATAGGTGACTTGGGTGAACAAGAGCAGGTTGGGGGTTGGGGAGGAGTTGCAGGTCTAACAGGAAGACCCAAACCAAACCAAACTCACTACCATCAATCCAGTCAATTCTGAGTCATAACGACCCTATAGGACAGAGTAGAACTGCCCCTATGAGTTTCAGAGACTGTAACTCTTTACAAGAGTTGGCAATGCCCTCTTTCTTCCATGGAGGGGCTGGTATTTGAACTGCTGGCCTTATGGTTAGTAGCCCAACATGGAACCACGAAGGCATCCCCTCACAGGAAGAAGGGACTAGCTAAATCAAGCTGGGTTTTCAGTGTTTAATGTAAGTCAGCACTAACTTGAAGGAAGAGACCATTAACACTCCTGTCAACTGGATACCACTGGGAGGGACAGGGCGGGGGCCAGACAGAGGGGCGATTGTATGAGGGAGTCCTCATTTTTCTGTTAGAAACATTTGGGGTATGAAACAGGCTGAGCAAGAAAAGAAAGCATAGAACTGGCCCCTTAAAAATGACGAATTAGTAGAAAGAAAATGTTTTGAGAATCATGATGGCAACAAAAGCACAAATGTGCTGGACCCAATGGATGGATGGATGGATCGTGATAAGAGTTGTACGGGCCCCCAATAAAATGATTTTAAAAAGAAAAATAAATGGCGAATTACTGTTAGAATGAAACTTCCAATAGGTGAAAGCATGGCTCCCCCACAAACGTGTAGTGTGAACATATGTTGTTGAGCCCCTGATGGCAGAGGGACTTAGCAAGGGGTGATGAAGGATTCATGGGGCGGGGTGGGGGAGGCGGCTGAAGAGCAGACACATGGGAGCCGCCAGAAACGCTCAAAGGAAGTCCCTAACAGGCGCCCAGAAGGAAACCAGTGTGCTAGAGATGAACCCACTGACAGGTTGTGATCTAAACCCCAAACCCAATCCATTGTTGATCCTGATTCATAGTGACCCTGTAGGGCAGAGCAGAACTTCCCTCACAGGATTCCCAAGGCTGTAAATCGTCATGGAAGCAGATGGTCATCCTTTCCTCCCACAGATGGCTGGTGGGTTCGAACGGCTGACCTTTTGGTTAACAACTGGGTGCTTGAACCAATGCACCATCAGGGCTCCTAGCATGAAAAGAAAGCCAAGACCCTTTTTTTTTTCTCTGAAGTGCTCTGGAATGGAGCAGGGCTGTCGGGTAAGGGTTGGGACTGCTGACCAGCAGCACCAGTGGAGGAAGATGGGCTGTCTGCTCCAGGAAAGATTTCCAGCTTCGGTAATGCTACACAGGGTTATGATAAGAATTAACTCGCCTGCAGGGGATTGGGTTTTCGGTTTGGTTAGTGCTCTGAACAGTCAACTAAAACTTTCAAAAATGGAAATGTTACACTAAGTTATCAGGGTAACTGTTTACTCACTAGAAAAATATATTATATTGAGTCAAATTAAAAAAAAAAATAACCCATTTTATGCTTTTCCCATTTTTCATCCCTCCTCATGGATTGAGTGCTGGTGGTCTGAAGCCAGCAGCTGCTCACAGCAGGAGAGACACTCCACCTGCTTGTGTAATGGCTATAGCCTCAGGAACCCTGCAGGACAGCTCTACATGGCCCATGGGGCCACTAGGCGTTGGAACAGACTTGATGGCAGGGGATTGGGCTTTGGTAGCTAACAGACATTTGGGAACACAAAGGGAAGGCCATTACTCATCACGGGCACATTCAGTCACCACATACAATGGCAATTACCTTCATGTCCACCGAGGGGTCGCCCTGCAGCAGCGTCCACTCATACTGGATGATGGCGTGGTCATCCGTGCTCTCTCGGCCATCCAGAGTCACTCCATCCGTGGGCAGATGCACAACCACATCCTGTCCCGCCTTGCTGAGTGGAGGCTCATCATTTTCTACAAAAGGAAATCAATTATTCATAGAGAGATGATGCCTGGTTTTCTTTCTAACCTACTAAGAGAGCTCTCTTAAAGTTAAAAGCCAGTAGACCAGTGGTTCTCAACCTTCCTAATGCCGTGACCCTTTAATACAGTTCCTCATGTTGTGGTGACCCCCCAACCATGAAATAATTTTCATTGCTACTTCATCTCTGTCATTTTGCTACTGTTATGAATCGAGAGACCCCTGTGAAAGGTTGAGAACTGGTGCAATACACCTAGGAGGAAATACATTTGCATGTGAGAAGAGCTATTTTAAAAGGGGCTCCTGCAAATAAGGATCAACCACCCAAGAGGAAAAGGGGATGGGACTAGGAGTCAGGACTGCATTGTAATGGGACAATCTAACCCGATGAGGAACAGTGTAGTACTGTGAGACCAGGTGTGTACCCGGTGTGTATATGCACACATAACTCACTAGAAACTGTAAGCAGCGGGGTTCTCTGGGTTTGGAAAGATAGGGGCTGAAGGGAGACAATACTTTCTACTAGAAATCATTCATCCTCATTTTAAAACAAAGACTTTACCTCTAAACAAGTGTATGTATATGTTATGAGGTTTAATAACAAAGAAACCTCTATGAACCAACAACAGCAAAAAGAGCAGCATCTTATTTCCGAGAACAGATGTGATCTGGCAGCGAACTGCTAAGAGAATACATATGGACTGAAAGTAACTTTCTTAACTTTCACTGTGCTGCTCTATCTGGGAGAAAAAACGAGGCTTTCTCCTCCCACAGAGAGTTACAGTCTCCCAAACTCACGGGGGCAGTTCCACCCTGTCCTACAGGGTTGCCGTGAGTCGGCATTGACTCAATGGCAGCAAGTTGGTTTGGTTGTTTTCTCTTTACCTAGTTAAAAAAAAAATCCACACCACATTCTGTATAGGATTTAGCCCTCCTGCACGCAGGAGAGGAAGTGTGGAGTGCTGAGTACACTGAGGATAAAGTTGTGGGGACAGGACACTATCCTGGGGCCCTTCACGGTATAAATCTAGAGAAGTATTATTATTTTTAATCGTTTTATTAGGGGCTCATACAACTCTTATCACCATTCATATATACATCAATTGTGTAAAGTACATTTGTACATTCATTGCCCTCATCATTCGCAAAACATTTGCTCTCCACTTAAGCCCCTGGCATCAGCGCCTCATTTTTGCCCCTCTCTCCCCTCCCTCATGAACTCTTGATAATTTATAAATTATTATTTTGTCATATCTTGCCTTGTCTGACGTCTCCCTTCACCCACTTTTCTGTTGTCCATCCCCCAGGGAGGAGACCACATGTAGATCCTTGTAATCGGTTCCCCCTTTCCAACCCACTCTCCCTCTATCCTCCCCGTATTGCCACTCACACCACTGGTCCTGAAGGGATCCTAGTAGAAGTGCGATGGAGTATCTTAAGGGAAATAAATGACATTTGGAAAGTTAAGATTAGTCCATACAAAATAAAAGCCACATGGAGTCAATTGTTTTCCCTCTAGGAAAATAGAAAAGGTTTACAGTTGTAATAACCCCCTTTTGTTTCCTTTCTTTTTAAAATGGTTTTATTGGCATATAATGCACATATCACACAATTTAAGAGTTGAATCATATTCAGAAGAACAGTGTAATCATTACTGCAGTCAATGTCAGAATATTGTCTTCTTGTCATTGTCATTAGCTCCCCATACTCCCACCCCCACCTCCCCTACCAGGCCCCTAGGGAATTATTATTACTGTCTCTTTAGATTTACCTATCCTGTATCTCATATACAGAAAGTCATTCAAAACATAAACTAGAAACAGACAATGACAAAACAAAACAGAAAAACCTTAATTGCAAAGAAAGCAGAAAATACTAAAAACCTAAGCAACTTTACAACGATAACCCCAGTCTCTTTGATCTTGAATGGCACGCAGTCATGTAAGGCTAATTACGTTCACTTAAATATTGATGCCTTACTGACAGCTGCAGGGACAAGCTGTACACAGAGACCATTTCTAAGCTGCATCTTTATTGCTTGAAGCTCATTTATCCAGATCATAGGCTCCCAAATTTATTAGGCCTACTGCTGCTTTTTCAGAAAAAAAAAAAAATTACTCAGAGCCCCCTGGCCATTGAGAACTTTTATATTCTGGCCCATAATCTAGGAGAAAGTCGAAGTAGGTGCTTTTGCAGTGGCCCCACCCCCGATCTTCCAGCGTTCATGAGAGGCTGGTCCTGTCCACGGCGGGAAATACTGATCCACATGCGCACGTTTTAAAGAAATGTAACAATATAATTGGGGTGGGGTGGGGTTGGGTAGAAAACAAACAAACAAACAAACAAACAAACAAACAAACTAACATCTGCTAAGTCCTCACTTCCTCCAGTGATAAAGTGCCAGTCAGAACCCTGGCCGCACCTTGCTCCTCCCTGACTACCCAGGTGCTGCAGGGAAATCACAACGCACATGGCCTTTCTTCCTGCTTTGTGAGGCGCCACTTCTCTCTGCGGGGCTTCAGCTTCAGCTGTCACTCCGCTGGGTCCTCCCAGGCCTGAGCTACACTCTGACAGTCCTGCTAGGGCAGGTAGAATGATTTCAGGAATACTAATCCGATTTTCCCCTAGAAAAACCCTTGGACAAGTCACCAAACCTTGGGATGCCCAGGGAGCCAGCCCTCCAGCCTCATCTCACCTTGGGGCTCCTCTCTGGGCTTAGCGCTTACGTGAGGGCCACACAATTGGCTCTCAGAGCGTCCGCTTCTACTGCCTTTGCAGGGCATCAAAACAAAGCAATACACCAAACTCCCTGCCATCAAACAGGACAGGGTAAAACCGTCCCTGTGGGTGAGGGTGGGGGCACTGTAAAAGCACCTACTTAGACTTTCTCCTAGATTATGGGCCAGAATATAAAAGTTCTCAATAGCCAGGGGGTTCTGAGTAATTTTTTATTTTTTTCCTGAAAAGGCAGTTGAAAGTGCCATGCATAACCAACCACCCTGCCCCCAGGGCTCCTTTATCAGGCGCGTTTAGTGTAAGGCATAAGCACCCTTCCAGGGAGAGATGTTGTTGCCAAGGAGGATGTGAGCTATGAGAAGATAAACCCCATTTACAGTCATTTAAAACAATGAGGATTAGAGCCTCTGATGTAACATCAGCCAAATAAACAACTGCCTGTTTAAGAAGATATGTGTCCTTTTATAGGCCTCAGGGCAAAGATTCGGCTCCTCCCAGGGAAGGGGAGAAAAGAGGTAACACCAGGACTCAGAAGCCACTGCGGCTTACAGACCTTCCCTTCGGTTCTGCAAGGCTCCTTGTTTTCCACACAACGGAAGTTCCAACTGCAGTGAAACTCAAGTTGCGTGTGCATTTCCAAATTCTAGAAAGCATCTTACAATTCAGCAGTTGTACACTGCATCTGGTAGCGATTGATGTTACACATTTATTTATTTAAGCATTTATTTTAAAATACTACATTTTAAGTAGGCAAGCTAATATGTGACTTAAGATATAAAGGGCCACTAGTAAAACTACTCGACCCTGCCCTCCCTTGGAGGCAGTTAAATGCCCTGACTTTTCTCTGGGTGGAATACAAGGTCATCCTAAGATCCTCTAACGGAAATATGTTTCTCCCTCAGTTCAAGTACAGGTGAACTACTCTGTGTAATGTATTGCAAAATGAGCCAGAGCTTTTCTATCCAGAAATAGGCCTTAAAATAAAGCTAATGATAACAGGACAAGAAAGGGTGTGTGCTACCACTGAAAACTATCTGAGTCCCATCTAAGTGGCAACTACTGGTCTCTTCCCATTTGGAGCCAAGAGAAGTGAAGATCAAAGATACATGGAAACAATTCCTCAAAAAGTTGATGGGCTGAGAGACCAGAGGAGCTAGATGGTGCCTGGCTGCCACTGCTGATTGCTCTGAAAGGAATCACAGTAGGAGGTCCTGGAGAGACTGGGAGGAAATATGTGGAACAAAAGCTAAACCTATAAAAGACCAGACTTACTGATCTGATAGACTAGTGAAACCTCCGAGATCATGGCCCTCAGACACCCTTCAAACCTGGAACTGCTGGACTCAACTTTCAGCCAGACAACAGGCAGGAGATACAATTCCTTAGATAGTCAACTTTATGAGATCAAAAGATGAAGGCATTGGGACACCCTGGGGAAATGGGAAGAGTCTTATTATGTTGTAGGAATTGTAATCAATTTCACAAACGTGTATGAATTGAATGAAATCATTTGCTTTGCCAACTTTCACTCAAAACACAATATTTTAAAAGTTTGACTTGCTGATGTGAACAAGACAAGTGTGACTTTTAATTTTGGTCATGAAACTGTAATAAGCCAATAGTAGGAAAACATTGATTTATTTTGAAAACTGAACATATTCAGTAAGTTCTACAAAGGTGAAATCAGACATCAATTTTGGTATGGCAACAGAGAAGACTGATATTGTTAACTAACCTGCTTACAGCGGGAGAAAGATGAGGATGTCTTGTCTCATAGATTTGGTCCTAGAAACCCAAAGGCACATTTCTACTGTGTCCTATAGGGTTGCTTCAGTTCAAATCAGCTCAATGGCAGCGAGTTAGGTTTGCTTGGTTTAACTTGCTTTGCCACACACTGCTGTGAACAGAGCCTTAAGGACAAGGAAGAGCTTCTAGAACAGTGGTTCTCAACCTGTGGGTCGCCCGATTCATAACAGTAGCAAAATGACCGTTATGAAGTAGCAACGAAAATAATTGTATGGCTGGGGGGTCACCACAGCATGAGGAATTGTACTAAAGGGTCATGGCATTAGGAAGGTTGAGAACCACTGCTCTAGAATCTGGATCTGTGCTGCCTGCGCACAAATGATAGAGCCAAGGCTGAGAAATTAGAAGGGACCTGTGGTAGCTACATAATCTAGGGTTGTTAATTTGAGAGGATTATGAGTGAAGGGGTGGAGTTTTCTGTCAATAGGGTCATAGACAATGAGGCCTCTATGTGGGCATGACCTTCTGAGAATTCTGGGAACTCCTGTACTTTTCTCCTTGTAGGTGGAAGACACCTCTCTCTCTGTTCACTCCCTTGGAGATGCTCTACTGAGAAGACACATGGCACTATGCTGATAGACCCCGTGCCCTGGGAACTGGAGGAGCCACGTAGAGGCCCCTGCCAGCACTGAAATGCTTACAAGTCGCTGAATCCACAAGACTTCCCACTGGCCTTTGATCCTTCTGCATTCGGCATCATTGCATGTATTTTGTGAGTCTAAAGAGGACTTTATAGATTGGTATCGGACATATGGGCCAATATTGGAATTATGGGATGTTTTCTCAATACTCAATTGCTCCTGTATATAACCCTCTTTCTTATATACATGAGTGTCTATGAATTTGTTTCTCTGGTCTACCCAGACTAACACAGGACACATGACATTAGCTCCCTGCTCTAACAATATGATGCACACATATGCTGCCTGCATAATTCATAGAGCATGTTACCCACTACCCGAGGCAGGCAAAGTGGGCATTGAACGCCCAAGAGGATTAGGGTTTGTGAGTGTGTAGGAGGAATCCTGGTGGCATAGTGATTATACGTTGGGCTGCTAACCTCAAGGTCAGCAGTTCAAAACCACTAGCTGCTCTTCAGGGAAAAGATGGGGCTTTCTACGCCCATGAACAATTACAGTCTTGGACACCCATGGGCGCAGTTCTGCCCTGTCCAATAGGGTCCTATGAATTGGCATTGAGTCAGTGAGTTTGGTTCTGTGTGGCAATGCTGGGTGTCAAACCCAGGTCTTAGGGCTTCCCACTCCCTGTACATGGTGCAGGCAGGATCAGGCATCTCAAGAGCCCTCTCAGCAGCTTCCACTCATGTCTGCGTTCTCTTCCCATCCCCACACCCAGCATGTCAGTCCCACCTTGGGAAATCCCCTGCCCACTCCTCCACCTCTACCTCTGGCTTCCTGGTACTGCAGAAAGAACAAACAAAGGGTGGTTCAGGACTGTGCCAGAACCAGGCTCCATGACTCATTAGTTCCTTTATCTAGCAAAATCTTAGTGCACCTAAGGTTGCAGTGCACAGTCAAGCCTCTATCTCTGGCTGTTTTTCCAGATAAAGTGAGCTCAAGCATGTTAAAAGCTTAGCACAGCACTCCCCACCAAAGTCAATAAATCAGACAACATCTGGGCTGACGGGTCCTTTATAAATCTGTGCTATTTCATCCCTCCTTGGGAGAAAGATGGGGTTTTCTACTCCTGTGTAAGAGTTAGTCTGAGACCTCACAATAGCAGTTCTACCCTGGTTAAGTAACTAGGCAGGTTAAAAACAAGTGAGGAAAAGACCTTTGCCTCACTTCCAAGGTCAGAGGGGGTGTCTCTGAGCCTGACTGCTTCCTTCCAAGGCTCTCCTGGAAATTAACACCAACCCCAGGGGGCCCCTATTGTTATACATAAACATGGATATTCCTCTACAAACTTCTGCTACACAGGGAAGGGAGAACAAGGGTGGAAGTGAAAAGACAAGTCAGAACCGTCTGCTAGTAAATAGAATCAATTTTGTATGGGGTATTCATTCCTAATTTTCCTTGCGGTTCCCCCACCCCTGGTTTATAGCCCCGTTCCCTTTGGCAATGCCAAGTTTCTCCCGGATGTGTTAGTGAGAATAGGAAAGAGAAGCTAGATTCTCAGTTGCCATGATTTTTTGTTCTTGCTTAAGATGTTGTGTAACAGGCATGGGCAGGGCTCAAGGATGTTGCGGGGTGGGGGGTGTCCAAGTGAAAGTGTCACCCTCCTACCCCAATGAGAGACTGTTTGGTCAGCCGGTCCTACGGAGTGTCAGTCTCCTTAGGCTGGGCATTTGCAGAGGGACCTCTGGACATTTGTTCCCTTGAGAAGGGTCCCCAGCCTCTTCTTCCCGGAGGTAGAGGGAGAGAGGCAGGGTCTACGGACAAAGACTTCCAGCTCTTTCTCATTAGACTCAAGTCTCCAATTTCCAAATTGTTGGCCAGAAACTCTCCCTTATAACCTTGCTAGTGATCGAGGTCATTCTTGTGTTCTACCACAAATCAAACCACATCAGAGTAGCCACAGGAAGCCCAATCGTGGTTTGATCTCCCAGTGAGTCATCTCTTAACTGCTATACTTTTCTGGGCCTCCCGTGGGTGTCTTGATGCTCATTCAGAGCTTTTGCAGACAACCGAATGAAAACCGAAAACCCCCAAATGAAAAGGTTGGTTAACTCTTGAAAACCAGAGTGTCCTTTCTTTTCCAGCTGCTCCTCTGAGGTCCTGCTCCGCCGGGCCTCTCTCTCTCTGAGGTTCTGCTCCGCCGGGCCTCTCTCTCTCTCTCTCTGAGGTTCTGCTCCGCTGGGTCTCTCTCTCTCTCTGTCTCTCTCTCTCTCTCTCGCTCACTCTCTCTCTCTGCAGTGCCTTGAGGGTGACTGTGTTCAGTTACAGTAACGCCCGAAACTCCTTCTATCCTTTATAAAAACCCACTTGGGTCACCAAAAAACAAACAAACAAACAAAAAAAACAGAAAGAAAAGCAGAGTGCCTGACTTAAACGTTTTCATTTTTAAGTAAAACCACCGTCCCTTCTGCCTCTTCGTGAAAGGGAACAGAAACGCACGGTCCACTTCAAAAACACGGGCACGTCTTCCTTCCCGTTTTCGTCTGGATGAAGGCACCTACGGGTAGAATTCTAACACGGGCGAGCCTCGCCAAGGAGGGGACACTGGGGTCGGTGTCCCGGGCAGCCAGACAAAGAGTTCGATTTTGCTCTTGCAATTAAGTGACTCAAATCATGCCTTAGGAAAGCCCCCGACCCTAAAATAAACTTCTAAGAAAATGCTGAGTGGTTTCATCTCCTTGAACTCAAATTGCCGTGAATCTTTTTCAGATCAAACCTCGAAAAAATCCGGGAGCAGTGCCCAGTGGCTGCTTCCGCCAATCGACTGGGTTTGTTGTTTTCGGCAAGCACCCCCAAAGCGAAAGAATCACACACTTGCCAGGAAACCAACGAAAAGCGTCTGGTTCCGCATCTGGCCCTGCGGTCCCGCCGGGCCGACCTCGGGCC